AAAGACACTGTGTAATAAAATACCTTTTATGAACAGCGCCCTCAGAACCCAGATAGTTTTTACCTTGCCTGTTGTTATCAAAGTATGCCTGTCTTCTTTGATGTGTAACACTTACACTGTTATACATCATCTGCTTTTAATTAACATATATACCATATAATCTCTTGAATAGGCATCACTCTAATTTAGACATCAGGGAAGAGTGAAACTCCTTAATTTGGTTCTGAAACAGGAGTCACGAAATGTTGAAAAATACAAGAAATTAGTTGTTCTCGAAAAATAGACTGAGCATTGAGGTAGAATTTAAAACTTGTTATGGTGATAACAGCTCATTGTCAAAACTCAATTTACCCATTCATGCTACCCACATAAAACATCATACTCTTGAATAAGCATCAATGACTACGGAAAATCTAATTTAGGCGTCAGGAAAGATTGAAATGAAAAATACTTTTTATTTATACTGTAATACCTAGCCCTATTCACTAATCAGCATTTCTCATACAGGCAAGGCTTAGATAATTTCTCTATGTTTTTATTTTTAGAATTAATGGATTATGAGTTTGATCGTAAAGATCTTACATGCCTGGCTGTTGCTGGTATTGTCGGCCTTTGGTATTTGTGGAAAAAGGTAAGTGAGCTAAATAGATAAATGTTATGTCTGATGTCTTACATCTATCCAGCAAAAGATTTTAATATGGCTGACATTGTATTCTATATGTACAGTCTGGAATTGCAAGAATAAATACTGTTGTTTCTAATGTAGCTTCATTTTGTGTGTTTATTAGTAAATATAATCAGCTTTCATTTCAACATTGTCTGCACTAATTGGATGATGTTTTGTTGCTCCCGATTGGACAGTATTTTGCTGCTTGTTGATTGGACAATATTAAACTAACTCATTAATATTAATCAGAACCCATGCTATATTTGGATTTTTGATTTATAAAAAATTGAATGTATAAAACGTTTATAAGTTGGTTTTTGTCATTCCATGTACAAGTTTAGCATATTTAGCTATGAGCGAAACAAGTGAAAATAAAATCCAGTGATTTTTCAGTTCAGCCATTTTAATTTATTTTGCGTTGGTTGATGGTCAACGGATTTAAAATGCAGTATATTTGATTTCTTCCAGCATTGGATTGCTAATAATGTATTTGGTTTAGCCTTTGCTGTAAATGGAGTGGAGTTATTACAACTGAACACAGTTATGACTGGATGTATATTACTGAGTGGATTATTTATATACGATATATTCTGGGTGTTTGCTACCGATGTGATGGTGTCTGTTGCAAGATCATTTGAAGCACCTATCAAGTGTAAGTGATTTAACTACGGTATGATTTGTTTCAAATTGTGAAGGCTTCATATTATGACTCATCATTGTTACTGACCTGTCTAGCCACCTGCTGCATTCATGCACTTACAACATCTGTTTACTGTTTAATTTTTACTGCTTAGATTTCATGTTTTTTGAGACACTGAGAGAATCTTTTAATGCTACACAATTTCACAATTTTCATTCCTGCAATTTTAAATACGTATTACAGAACTGATCACATTCAAACTTTGCACAAACATTTTGTACTCTGTCATACGTATATACATCTGCATTTGTCACTATTTTAGTGCAAAATACACAAGACAATCAACAATTACATTCAAACACATACATAATTTTCTGTACTATTTTTAACAAAAGTTACGGAGGACCTGTCAGTTGTTTTGGTATTTAGTCTTTGTGATGATATGTTAGTTATTTTCTGGTGTCGTTGTTAATTTAACATTTTAGCATTTATCAATACAGAAGAGATATGTTTCTCTCACAAAATGTATGTGTTGATATATTTTTGTATATTTGTGAATGTAGTGCAAACCATGTATAAATCTTATTTCATATGTTTTATTTCTAGTGGTGTTCCCTC